CAGGTGAATCATGCAAGGACATTTGTTTGCAGCTAAACTCCATGCCAGCTACAGAGCTAACTTGGCAGGGCATTTTTAAGGAGATTGTACAGTTGTAAATGTACCCATGGATATTAACCCTATTATATTATCTTCTAGGTTACTTGGGGGATTCTGTTGGTGTCCTGTAGTGTGATGAGAATATTAGGTAATACATTATAACACAGCTGTAACTAAGTGTATTTTCAATGTCATTTATATCAAATTTACATTGTAATTGTATTTAAAAGTATATTCACTAGAAAAAGTGGTTGACAAGTCAGGTTTTTACAGGGAAAAAAGAAATACTACCTCACCAGGCCTTCACTATACCTACAGGTTGTCAAAGTACAACAGTGGTGTAAAAGAGCTGCAGACCAAGTATGATACATTCTTGGTCCATCAAATATAGCTGAACAGCACAACAGCAACTGTGCTTTACTTATGGTTAACTTCTGCTACCTACAGTTTTTTTATGAGCATTGCATGTGCATTTGGAGCAATGTAAATGTATTTACATCAAAGAACGTAACTTAGAACTGCAGTAATGCAAAAGCCTTTGTGGACTGGACAGAAGAGAGGCAAATGGGATACCTGGGGGGGGTGTTGAACCATATAAGAGAGTGAGTATGGGTGATCAACAATACAGTATCGCACCCATTAAGTTTGCTCTTTAGCTAGACTAAGTCTAGCTGTAACAGGTCTAAAATTAAGATTTCGACTCACTTTCTATCTTCAGCCTTTGGATGTCAATATCTGTTGATCTGTTGACACTATGTTCGAAATCTGCCAATATTTACATTATACCTTGCACTATTTGAACATGCTGTGTTTAAAACTACTTATATAGCAACATATTTAATATACTGTGGTAACCAGGAAAAGGAAACAGCCAAGTTATCATTATCATCACCAGTGAGTTGTAGAATTAGACTGCTGATTGAATAGAAGCACAAACCTGACATCTAGTGGTGAACACAGTTACAGTGCATGACACCATGTACTAAAAGGTCAATCGTCATTAGATTCCTCATATTGTTTTCCTTACAAACACGCTGATCATTTTTATTCTCTTGTACAAGTATGAAATGCTGCAGCAGTGGTCTCAAAAGTAATTCTTCATTTTGATTTTTTTTTGAAAGCAATGTAAACTTATGAGAGGGGAAAAAGGGGAGTCTTAAATATCTTGATGCATGCTAAAGTCTTAAATGTTTTACTGCTCTTTAACATGACAGATAATGAAGTTTTGCCACAAAAGCACATATACAGTACTAAAATATTGTCCAACACAAGGATGGTGTGACAGAGCAACACTAAGCTGTATGAGAAACTCATGTTTTACAAATCACTGTACCCAATGCATCAGCTGATTTCACTGAGATATAGATATCTATATATTTTGTTTAGTTGGTTTCTGCTTTTTCAGTAGAGATGGTCACTGCCCTCCAAAGTTCTCTTTTTAAGATTGGAGAACAGTAGGTGGACAGATCCATTTTGAGTTCTAACAGCATGCTTTCAAAATACAGAGGTAATCAAATCGAACTGGAGATAGAAAACTAAATCAATGATCAAAATGTGTTCTTAAGTGAAATACTGAGCGGTTAGTGTTATTGTAGCCAGCATCCAGTTTCCCCTTTACCTGAAAGAAAGGGCAAATCATAACATGCCACTGTGCCACAATAAGCAAAAAAGGTAATGAGTGTTATTTGAATCATTTTAAATAAGTTAATCTCTTTTTTAAAAATTATTTTTAAAAATTAAGCAAATAAGCACAGAGTCAAAGATGTATTCAAGTAGCTTTATTTGTTAAAAACCAGAACAATTGACAAATAAGACTTCAAATTTCTTCCCCTTGAGCCGTCGATTCCAGGCTAGCTCATGAATGATGTGTAACAGACGATGTGAATGAAGGCACTCCATCTTAAGTCCAAGTATCATTCCCAACCAGTTCAAGTAAACAACCTCCTCTCAGCCTCTGTGGCAATCAATAACAGCTGAGTGTAGGATGTTTACATGAACTGAGTCTGAACAACTGAACACAAAACTACACTTTAAAGGAGCACAGTGCCTAAATCAGGTATGGATTTCAATGAATATTGAATAAAAAGGTTAACTTGGCAGTAGGGGGTAGCCAGCAGCCGCAAACATCAGACTGAAAGCTCTGTGGTGCAGACAGCTTCCAGTCGGGGATGTTTACAGTCCCAGACTACCAAGTGCATGTGGAGCCGTAAATGCAGATTATATAAACACTTTCCACCTACATTTGATCTGAAGATGCCAGCCCAGGTCCTTAATAGAGTTAAGGTCAGAAGGTTATAATGGCCACACTGTGGTTTTCCTTTTGAGCAACCAGGGAGCCTATAAAAGAAAAACCTTTCCATAGCATGTTAGGACATTGCCAAGTTGGGATCACAATACACCTATGAGGACATTTTGACACAATGAAGTGGGTCTAATCATCTCGCTACACAGTATTCCAGTTCAGATCCCTCTGCCTTCTGCTTGGTGAGTTCGGTTTGTGTTTACCAATCATCTAGAACCCAATCCACCTGCACCATAGTAGCAAGGCTTTCACTGGTGGATCAAACAGTTTTAAAATTACAGATATCTAGTCTATTGGAAACATGTTTTTATTTTGTTTATTAGAAGTCTGCCTTAAAAATATGGTTCATTTACTCCAAGCCCTTAAGCACTTTAGTATACATCCATGTTTGTGGCAAATACAGAATAGGCACCTACCATGCATGTCTTCTGGACAGACACAGGGAGCACATGTGTAACTCCACACAGTAAGGTGAAAAAGCAACAAAACAACACAATACACCCACCTTAACACCATTTCTCTATTTGACTCACACTTTCCCCAAGATTTTTATGAACCCTCTTCATTTTTCCAAAATTATATCCATGTTTTTCATGCCAGACACTGCACTTCTGCCACACTTTATCTTCTGAGAAATCGCACTCCCATTTTGCATGAGAAATGCAACTTGTTTAATTTAACTGGAGGTTATTTAATAACAAACACCTGGCAAACCAATTAGCAACCATGTCCAATTTAAAAGAGAACAAAAAAAACCAAACTCAGCTGTATCTGTTTAAATCCTACTGACATGTGACTGCATAATCATTTCTGCCATTAGACACAAAAGAAGAAGAAGCAGCAGCATAATATTTGGAACACAGTTCACGCACTGGACCAGGAAGACATACTATGAAACTGTAGATGCTGTCTGAAGCGAACGCTGACCAGATGTATACCCGTGTACGGTTTCGTGGCTCCTTAAAGAAAGGGGGGAAAAAAAGAGGAAAAATGAGGAGTAAAGTTAACATTTAATCTTTTCCGAAATACTTTAGTGCCAAGCATCCATAGAGCCTCGTGAATTAGCACAATGGTGCTCCTGAGAGAAAAACGACAACAAAACAAAACAACTTTGTCCCTCACTGCACTGCCTCAAAAGATTAACATGCCAGCCTGCTGTTTCACGCTGACTTGCGCCACAGGTTAAATTACATTAGCTACGAAACAGCTGTTTGGTGCCTTGTTATTTAGAAGCATATTGCGGTTTAACGGTACTGTAATGTCACTGAAGTAAACTTGCACTGCTGGTAAAGACTGTTGCAAGGCCAGCTACTGTGTCCTACCTAACTGAACATAGAAAAAGCTAACTTAAACAGCAAGATGACTGTTAGTAACAAACGTCAACTGCTTGTGAGGTAACCGGCATCTCCCGAGAACTGCTTAAAGTAACTTTGTGCTGCCAGGCGTCCTACCAGACTAAACAATATGTGGTAAGTGTTAGCACTAGCTAACCAACGACCTAGGCTACAGCTAGCTCGCTAGCTGCTGTTAGCTCGTCTGTGACCCTAACCTTGTGCCGTGTGACGTTCCCTTACCGGTATATAAAACGATTATCCCCGGACGAACGACACGACAGCATCCAGTGCAGGAAATTACTTTGTATTTTGAGTCAACCTGGTAATGTTCTGTGCTATTCTAGGAAGCCCGTTTAGTTTCCTTCCGTTTTCATTCACTTGTCTTTATTTTGACCTTTGGTTACTCGACACCAACATTGACGTCATTGTCATGGCAACACAGTCCCTCCTACCGCGAGCCCGGACAGACATACGGTAGTTAACTTTTACGTTTTACGCTTGAAATATAGCCGTAATTAGCACCTCACTGTGAATGTAGTGTTTTTTGTTTCTAAAGAGTTGAATAGGCGCAAAGGAAGCTTAATTCCGGTTTGTTCGTGAGAAAAAGTAATGATAAAATAACAGAAAGACGAATATAACTAAAATCTGTTTAAACTGTTAAGTAAACATTCACAAATATGTTTAAACTACCAAAAGCAGAGTCATAGCAAAAAAGCCAGTTTGAATAATTGGATTATTTAGGCATCAGCAAAACTATTATTTTTGCAAGCCTGTGTTTTTTTAACTACTTTGTTTTTTGCATACATATTTAGTAGGTTGTTGGTTCTATATTAGCAATTATAAAGGACAGGAGCCTCAAAATGAGATTTTGAATTTTAGCATTACCACACTTTGTTTTCTTCTTTTTTTTTCTTTTGTTTGCTTTACTCTTTTCTTCCCTCTTTCCTTTCATCCAAATCTGCAATGACTTTTGGAGGCCAAAAAAATACCATTGAACTGAAGAAATGTACTTAAAGCAAGTACTTAAGGCAATCAGTTGCTTTAATTTTAATTTTTTCATGTTTTCTGTGACATTCCCTGCATACTAGCATCGTGCACCCTGCTGTTATGTGCTGCATTGTCCCAGGGGCATCTTTGCACAGCCTGCACCTGGGGTCTTACCTGGTGTGGTACATGCTGTACAGGCTCCTGTCCCTTCATGATGGTTCCTGTTGTTGCGGCTCTTCTTTCTTAGGTTTCTGCAGCCTGAGTTATCCACTAAGCACATGATCAGTTGTGGTTATCTTCCTGATATACTCATGGATGTTTGTTGTTTCATCTTTAATATTGGTTTTGACTTGGCCTTCTGCATAGCGTACAGTCTCATGATGCTGTATTTGGGGTGAAACACTCCATGCATGATAAGAAGGTTTGTTGTCTTGAAGTCAGTGACTTCTCTCTCCTCCTTTGGCCAGCTTATTATCCTAGCAGGGTATCTGATGACCGGCAGGGCATGAGATCTACCTAGATCTCAAGCTTGAACCACAACCAAAAACCACCCACAGGGTGAGTGGAGAAAGTTTTATTTATAGATAGATAGAATGTTAGATAGATAGATATTATAGTGCATTTTTAATTAAAGTTGGATTGTGGATCTTGATCATTGTTTGTAATGTTTTTTGACATTTATAAAAGTATATGTTAAAGATTTTTTAAAAATTCCTAAGACTCAAATTTTGGCAATTGAAAGTCATCCATTTGAGCCCAGGGGCTTAGCATTTTCTTTACTTTTGTAATTCATTATGTGATATTTCATTTACATTAATAGTCACTGTGATTATTAGATTAGTTACCGATAAAGATTTACAGCCCTAATTCATATTTCACAAAGGCATCAAACATATTACACAAGTTTAACTTTATTTAAACTTTGTTCAATAGTGCACATTGGTATTTATTCACCCAGATTGCTGGTTTCAGCTCTGCCTTAGCTCCTAGTAGTTACTATAGCCCAAGTACAGTACTTGCTTAAGGGAAACCCTGAGTCCAGTCTAACAAAGTTATGCAGCCTGTCAATAACAGGCTTTCAATTGGAAAAAAAAAAAAGTAGGGCAAAAAGAAGAAAGTGTTTTGAAAAAAGCAATTTGGAAGCTACCTTGTAGCTCTGAGCATTCATCAACTGCTTATGCCTGTGGAATAATCTGTGATTAATCATTTAAGGTACATGCTTTTGCCCCACTCATGTTTTCTATTACATCATGCCTGTTGACATATTTGATAAGCATAGCGCTCATTAATCTAATTAGTGCCTTTAGCTACTTATGTTTATTCCATCAGATGGATCAGATCAGACTGATCATCTTTGCCTTAGTGTGTCTTTGTGTCCCTGTCAAAGTGTAATGGATGTAATACAGCAATTCTTTAAGCATGATAGAGTTAAGTGCATTTTTAATTACATATAATCAAAGAGTGTAGATGAAAGAGTAAGTAAGGTCCTAGCAACTTCACATAATCCAAAAAGTAGTCATTACTCTCTTCAAGAGTGTGTTAGAAACTGCTTTGTGCAGTATCCTCCACATGAGGTCAGGCTAGTTCCACAAATCAACTAGCTTTTCATTATGTAATGGAACAAAGTAAGCTGAATTCTTGTGGTAGATTACAGGACGTATAGTGACTATTTAATATTCAAAGCCCGTGAACATGTCGCAAGAATATTCAAAGTACCCAATCTTTGGTCAAAATTGTGAAGCAAGATCAGCGAATGCAAATTATTAAAAATTATTTCTGAACCCATAACAATATTCATTATATTTCAGAGGGTAGTGGTGGTGGTGTAGCCTTCTTTATGTAACACTGCAAAAGACTTCTTAATAATTCATATAATGTATTGCAGTTATTTCTTATGAAAAAAGAGCAAGAGAGAGAGAGAGAGAGAAAATCCATCTATAACCTAACCAGGGAAATTGATTCCCTTGTCATTCTGTGTGGTCTGAAATTGCCCAGAGCTATTATGAGAGAGACTGATTTTTGCTGTGCAGTGGAGTGGAACAGTCTTGCCTTGTAGAGCTTTTTGTGAGATGTGAACAGATTCATGAGCAACAGCACTGCTAAAGAGGCATGTTATCATGTGCTCTCAGGCAGATATCCTAAACATTTTAAGCTTTTTAGAGTAATCTAACTGATCTGTGCTAAAACGTGCAATTCACACAAAGTCATTGGTACAAACACTTTCTGCATGTTTAACCAAACTGCATACAGCATAATTTTGACAGTTGTAAAAAAATAAAGTTGTAATTAATTTGACAGTTGTGAAATAAGGTTTGTTAGTTCTTTCAAATGATCCCATTAACTGTAAAGTTGTATTAAAATATGTATTTTTTAAAACTTAAACAACAACAAACAATATTTTTGACAACAAATCAGAGGTGTTTCTAATGTGGTGGACATGTGGAGGCACCAGTGGCACACTCACATTCACACCTATGGGCAATTTAGCTTCGCCAATTAACCTAACCCCACTAATTACATTTCTTTGAGAGGAAGCCGGAACGCGGGAAGATCATGCAAGCTCCACACAGTTATCATGTGGCCAGGTGATGGAATCGAACCCAGGCCCTTGCTGTCAGGGAACAGTGTCGATCACCACGCCACCATGCTGCCCCCTAATCAGGCCAAAGCAACATATATGTCACATGAGCAACAAATTCTGTGTATGTTTCAACCAACAGGCTACACCAATCAGAGGTCATAGATGAGCTGTCCCAGAGGAAAATGCAAGTCAGTAGTGGAGTTGAGAGTTACATCACTGCCCTTCTTATTATAGCTCTGAACACTGCATGGGATCCTTATTTCAGATGAGCAGATGGGTGTACCAGAGGACCACAGGTATGTTCCTATCTGGGGCAACATGATGTTTTTCACCATGCTTCTGTGATTCTTTACTGGTTAATAGACCACCCACAACTTACTGTAAAAGTCAGTGTTTTTGTGGCGTGATAAATAGAAGAATCAATACATGCTCTGATTAATTTTAAAGGTTTCTGTGAAATGTGTGTCTGGGTAGTTTTACTGGGCTGGAAATTACAAAGGCTATCAGCGCTTAAAAACAGATGCTTGCAGGCTGGATTGGCAGGTTTACAACACCTCGCCACATTACCAAAATATGGATTGCTTTATTTTCCAGTATTTTACCTTGTGGCTACAATCAGAGTGTGCTTGACCCATAAACTAAGAAATGGGCATTCTTTCATTTTGAGTTTTTCACCAACTTTGTTGTTGTGGTCTGGAAAAAAACAAACAAGCTTTTTGTTGTGTTTTTTGCTTATTTTCTGTCAAATATATGCCAATGCAATGGAGATCAAACACGGACAATTTTTCAAGTATGAACGTCATGAGCGTGGGTTCCCTCCGGGTACTCCGGCTTCCTCCCACTGTCCAAAGACATGAAACTTGTGAGGATAGGTTAATTGGTCAATCTAAATTGCCCATAGGTGTGAATATGTGAGTGCGACTGGTTGTCTGTGTCTCTGTGTATTGGCCCTGCGACAGACTGGCGACCTGTCCAGGGTGTACCCCGCCTCTCGCCCTATGACAGCTGGGATAGACTCCAGCGCCCCCCGCGACCCTGAAAAGGATAAGCGGAAGTGAATGGATGGATGGATGGAACGTCAGTATACTTTAAGGAAGTGATCCCTGTGAGCAATAAACCGCGTACACATAGTTCACCACTTAATGCATTTTGTTTACTCTTGGTTCTATATGATGTCAGTAAGAAGAAGAAGCAGCTCCCTTATTCAAAACATCACTACAGCAGGTAGCGCCGCCTTGCTGATTTGGCAGAGTTTTTGCCCTTCCTGATGTCAGTGAGAGTGGATGTATTAATAATCATGATCATAGTCATCTCAGGCACACAGCTCTGACTGAGCAAGGAAGCCCCACCCACTTACTTTCAAACCTTTTATTTGTGAGGGGCAGCAAATTAAGATGAGCTAAAATGGCTTTGAGAGAGAATTAAGTGATAAAGCATAAAGCATTTGTACAATTTACGCTGATCCTGATTTAAATATATGTGCAAATTTTTGAAAAATGTAAGAAAAAAAATAAACATGCATAATACAACTCAGTGTAAGCAATGTCTGCAATAAACAAAGAGAATCATAAACAGAAACCATAACATTATGCTTCACTGGGAGGAACTGAAATCCTAAATAAAGAACTGAAATCACTATGAGAGCAAGGAGAAGCTAAAGAAATAGTGTCGGCTCAATAGCTGCATTTACATTCATCTAACTTCCTCTAGCCTTATTCAGCAAAGAAGGAATTATTTACTGGACTCAGCAGCTCACATACTGTATATGTTTTGAATAAACCATGTGAATTTGTTGGATTGTTAGCGACAAAGCAAGCAACCAAAAGAACTGCTCACCAGTGTTTTGCAACACTTCCTTTTCCTCTTCAATGACAATTTGTTGAACAGAAAATAATTTCTAAAAAATGTATGATTGTGTCAAGATTAGTGGTAAAACTGGCCATCGCAACAGTGTCTGGAAACAAATGTTTTGCCAAATATATCAATTCGTCTGTGGCAATTTCAAAGATTATCATAATTTTATTATAGCTATTATTATTTTTTTATATTATATATTTTCCCATCTATCTTTATATACACGATCAAAAAGTGTATGCACCTGTGTGTTGTTTAGCCCCTTGATGAAGTCAGAAACTGATCACCAAACTCAGAGTGGGCACTTAGACTCTGCACCCTTTTCCGGCTGAAAACTATGACGTCAGTCTTGGAGGTGTTAATTCTCATCCCAGCTCCTTTACACTTGGCTGCAACCTTCAACTCCCGCCACAGATTTTCTATGGGGTTGAGGTCTGGAGACTGGCTAGGCCACTCCAGGACTTTCAAATGCTTCTTATGGAGCCACTCCTTTGTTGCCCGGGCGGTGTGTTTTGGATCATTGTCATGTTGGAAGACCCAGCCTCGTTTCATCTTCAAAGTTCTCACTGATGGAAGGAGGTTTTGGCTCAAAATCTCACGATACATGGCCCCATTCATTCTGTCCTTGACACGGATCAGTCGTCCTGTCCCCTTGGCAGAAAAACAGCCCCATAGCATGATGTTTCCACCCCCATGCTTCACAGTAGGTATGGTGTTCTTGGGATGCAACTCAGTATTCTTCTTCCTCCAAACATGACGAGTTGAGTTTATACCAAAAAGTTCTACTTTGGTTTCATCTGACCACATGACATTCTCCCAATCCTCTGCTGTATCATCCATGTGCTCTCTGGCAAACTTCAGACGGGCCTAGACATGCACTGGCTTCAGCAGCGGAACACGTCTGGCACTGCGGGATTTGATTCCCTGCCGTTGTAGTGTGTTACTGATGGTGACCTTTGTTACTTTGGTCCCAGCTCTCTGCAGGTCATTCACCAGGTCCCCCCGTGTGGTTCTGGGATCTTTGCTCACCGTTCTCATGATCATTTTGACCCCACGGGATGAGATCTTGCGTGGAGCCCCAGATCGAGGGAGATTATCAGTGGTCTTGTATGTCTTCCATTTTCTGATGATTGCTCCCACAGTTGATTTTTTTCACACCAAGCTGCTTGCCTATTGTAGATTCACTCTTCCCAGTCTGGTGCAGGTCTACAATACTTTTCCTGGTGTCCTTCGAAAGCTCTTTGGTCTTGGCCATGGCGGAGTTTGGAGTCTGACTGTTTGAGGCTGTGGACAGGTGTCTTTTATACAGATGATGAGTTCAAACAGGTGCCATTCATACAGGTAACGAGTGGGGGACAGAAAAGCTTCTTACAGACGACGTTACAGGTCTGTGAGAGCCAGAGATTTTCCTTGTTTGAGGTGACCAAATACTTATTTTCCACCCTAATTTACGAATAAATTCTTTACAAATCCTACCATGTGAATTCATGGATTTTTTTTTTCACATTCTGTCTCTCACAGTTGAAGTGTACCTCTGGTGCAAATTACTGACCTCTGTCATCATTTTAGGTGGGGGAACTTGCACAATCGGTGGCTGACTAAATACTTTTTTGCCCCACTGTATAATGGCATAATTTTTTTTAAGTTAATTAACTAAAGCTAAATCCCACTGTTGTACCATGTCTGAAAATACAGCCGTAAATGATTCCCTCATTTTCACATTCTCAGATTTGTTTAACTTCTTGAGAAGAACATCTACACACAGCTAAAAAAAAAAAAAATCCTGGTATTAACACCATGCGCAACATGTGCTAATTTATAAAGCATTGACATTCAATATCATAAACTCAAGACATCACAGCTGGAACCCGTTTAACACACAGTTCATCAGATGGAAATACATCAGTCGTAACCTCAAATGATCGACAGAAGGGTGATGGACAAGTTTACTTGTTTTCCCCCGATGCCTTAATGAGGCTAATATTGCCTGAGATGCTGACGAGTGAAGAATGCTGACACAGAATATGGATTTTTGTGATTTCTGAATATTTGGTTTAGGTATGAGAAAAACTGAAGATGAGTTTTCCATCTTACATTTGTGTAACCCAAACATTCTGGCAGTAATTTTCCTACAGTTAGATTGCACTGGAGAACCAAAACAGTGTGTTCAGATCTCTGAAGCTGCCTGCAGAATCTGGCACCCAGATTTTAAAACCTTCTTAAGCAATCTGTTAAGTAGTACCATGTTTGTTTGTTATGTTGTAATAGAGATAACAAAAATGAATAACCTTGGATACTCACATTAGACCACTATTGCCTTGACAACAAAAGCCTGAAATGACAGATCCAAACTGGTTCTCTTTTCCATTATATGTAAAACTCTTACAAGGCTGAACTTTTTGGGTATTTTAGCGTGACAATAATAGCTGACAAATCAAATCTAGAATCAAAACTGTATGGGGAAAGAGAAAAAGGCAAACACTGGCTTAACAGTAGGAAGTTGACTTCCTTGAGTGGCCCATATCCAAAAATCCATCCATCCAATTAGACAATGTTAGACCACAGTAGTAGCAGACTAAGAAGGTTTTTCCAGTTGTTGTTGTTTTTTTGGGTTTTTTTTTTTTTCAAAACTCTGAAAACCTCTGCCCTGAAAACCTGCAAAGGAAGGTGCCCAAGACGCATTCTAATTAGATCCTCCTTTAGCAGAGAACTGGAAGTCTTGCCTTCCAGTTCTCTCTCAGGTTGTCTCAGTCTGATACAGCGGTGTAATGATCTGCTTGTCCATCTAACTCCATTTTAGCCTCACCAGAAAACTTGATGTCAGGGTTCAGTTTTCCCCAAAGCAAAGGTCGCTCTCCACCAGAGACGGGCAGTACTGGTTAAAAGTAACGCTTTGCTGTAATCCGATTACTTTTTTTCAAGTAACGAGTAAAGTAAGGAATTACTATTGCAAAAAAGTAATTAGATTACTGTTACTTGCCCGTAAGCACACTGCATTACTACTGTTTGTGGGAGTGTCTCATCACAATGACGTACGAACACATGACGTTCGTGGCAGCAAAAGACGGGTGTAGATCATCCATCCATCCATTCGCTTCCGCTTATCCTTTTCAGGGTCGCGGGGGGTGCTGGAGCCTATCCCAGCTGTCATAGGGCAAGAGGCGGGGTACACCCTGGACAAGTCGCCAGTCTGTCACAGGGCCAACACACAGAGACACAGACAACCATTCGCACTCACATATTCACACCTATGGGCAATTTAGATTGACCAATTAACCTATCCCCACTACTGCATGTTTTTGGACTGTGGGAGGAAGCCGGAGTACCCGGGGAGGAAGCCGGAGTACTCGGGGAGAACCCACGCAAACACGGGGAGAACGTGCAAACTCCAGACAGAAAGACCCCAGCCTTATGGTGGAATTGAACTCAGGACCTTCTTGCT